TGGCCTGGCAGGGGTGGTGGTGATTATAACGCATCAACAATGAAGAAATCAATATCCAAATTGGGGGTGAAGGGCTGGATTAGATCATACTTGCCGTTTTCGGGAGTATCATAGCCGGAAATCTAGGCACAGTCAAGGTCGAGGAAACGCCAAGATTTCCGAATACTTTTGTGAAAACGGCAAGTATGGGAGTGGTAAGCGAGAGGAGCGACATCAATTCCGCAATAGGGAGTTAACAGTAAATGAATTTGCCGTAAAAAGTATGATAATCAATGCATTCTGCTGCAATCTAGACACTGTTTCGATGACAATAGAAGTGATAAACCCTAACCCTATCATCCCCATTACTCGTCCTCTTTCAAAGTGATGTTCAAGGCAGATACGGGGGGTCGGGAATCTTGGAAGCAAACTAGATATCTTACGCTCTAAGAGCGGAAAAATTGTGGCATGAAGAAAAAAATCAAAAGTAGAGAATTGGGTGAAATTTGTTTCCGAGTTATGATACTGGGTTGGGGGTCAAAGGGTCAGGCCTAAATTCGTACATGCTGCGCAGGAGTCAGATTGTAATTATGATAGGACAAACAAGTTTATCATACCCACCCAAGCACAGTGGAATGGGAACTAAACTATACGTACGTTCGGGGTGACACCTGTTGTCTGCCGGTAAGTGTGGTAATGAGTATTAACTTAGTCCATTTATCATCAAAAAAAACCAACGCATGCGGCCCAGCACGATCTCAAGACAGACAGCGATACTCAGATCACCTGCCTGGCGTATATCATAATATCATAAAGTACCATTTCGTAGGAGAACGCTAGGGTACGCTAGTATATTTTCCCCCAACCCCCCGGTAAGCTGCCCGGACTCCCGAATGCACCGTGAGAATGCATCGCGAGGGCTGCTTCTCAGAGTGGGACCCAATACCGCGCGGCCGGAACCCCGTTGCCATGGCGAGTCGTTCGAGTTCCTATCATACTGTAACCGTTAAATGTCACAGCGTGTAGCATGCGGGGAAGGCAAGATTTCAGTGTTCAAACATAATTTCTTATTCATGGGATGTTAGCGGAGGATGCCCCTGTATTTGGTCCCTCCCGTATCTAATTTGTCTATTTAATTGTTTTGCAGGGCCTGGATATCTGAAAGCATAAAAACCGGAATAATTATGCCTTGTGGGAAAACGTCAAGAATTTCCTCTTTTGGATTAAGGTGGGGAAAGGCATAGTGAAATACGCGCCCTTCAGCCCTAGGCCAGGACAGGTAATAATGAAATTATAACCGACCTTGCACGGAGAGGCAGTTGCAACGTCCAGGCATGTGGTCGGGTTGTTCGAGCTTTTCGGTGACTTATCATTGCGGTCACACCAAACACATATGGATTTGACACGGAGTGTGTGATCCCCGGTGTAACCCAAATCTATGTAAAATATTAAAGTAGCTTGATCGGAATCCCCTGCTTCTCTGAAAAGTCACCACCAAAGGGAATCTGGGTCCGATCTATTGGCCCGGCCACCGCACCATAGTAAAAATAATAATGTACCTCACATTTCCAACTAATACAGTCAAGGAATGGGTAATAAAATGCGACAAGGTACGGGGGGTCGAATAAGAAACTCGGAGGAGAATAATGTGATCGGGGGCCAACATAACACCGGGGACTGGAAAAACCGCTGGGGTTGGCAACGGCCAACTTGGGATCCGGCGGGCCGTTTTGCTTTGGATGTCAAAGTAAAAACAGGTAGTTACCTAATACCCAAATAGAGAAGACTATGTGTTAGGATCTGTGAAAGGGGATCAAGGATGTTGTGATTGATTGTGGAAGCTATGGGGGTCAAGCGGATCGTTTGGGATTGTGGCAAATTCCCTCAGACTAACAAGGCCTTTCCTCGACCCAAAAGTCCACATTCGAGGGT